TTGTTTTCTTTCATTTCTCAGTTTTCAGAATAGTTAATTGGTTTGTAGCATCCTCCAAAGGCGATCAGTGCTTTAAGTTACGAATTTGTATTTCAGTCCATTCATTTGTCATTCTTAGCAATGCTGAATAAGTGTTTACTTTTTAAGTTCTTTTACAATTTAGTATTTACCACATTTCCTTTAGGCTTATTGAAGTTCTTATTCTGTGAATAATTCACATTTTCTGCTAAGATCTGAGAATATAAGCATACTCAGATGTAAGTAAGGCTTAAAAGAGGGTGTAATGAAGTGCTTATTTCTGATATCTGAGTAAAGGTTGGAACTATTTACCTTTGAATCACACTTCAGCTCTGTGGCAGCATATTCTAAGAAGCCTTGGAATTTGGTGGGGAACCTGCAGAAGAACAAGCATTTGATATCCTGTCTCTCAGATTAAAAGCTATATCTGTCAATAATATTACTCATTTAAAAAATTTCTTGGTAAAAATTAGTCACTAAAAAACTGTATTTCTATTTTACAACAGAGGAGGAAGTTCCCCTAACACACATGTATTTTTGTTGACTTCTTATGGTTTAGCTGTTTCGCTTGACACATGCATATGTAACTTTCTGAAGATTCATTTAACTTAAATATGCCAGTTTCCCAACAATTGTTATCACCCTTAAGTATAAAATCTCACTGTTCAACATCAGTTTTGTGTACAAAGGGATTTAAAAATTGTACAGTTTCATGAGTTTAGCACAGTATCTTTATGCAGTGTCAAACATGTCTTCTTCCTATTAGCTTTATTTTTCCTTTCTCTGATTATAAAAATAATGTTGGAAAAATTAGCAAAATTAGGATTGCCATAATCCTGCTCACAAAGTTATATTTGAAAAGTTAATAGAAAATAGAATTGAAACATAAGCTGGCCGGTGCTGTGGCTCACTAGGCTAATCCTCCGCCTTGCGGCGCTGGCACACCAGGTTCTAGTCCCGGTTGGGGCGCTGGATTCTGTCCCGGTTGCCCCTCTTCCAGGCCAGCTCTCTGCTGTAGCCAGGGAATGCAGTAGAGGATGGCCCAAGTGCTTGGGCCCTGCACCCCATGGGAGACCAGGATAAGTACCTGGCTCCTGCCATCGGATCAGCACGTTGTGCAGGCCGCAGTGCGCTGGCTGCGGGCGGCCATTGGAGGGTGAACCAACGGCAAAGGAAGACCTTTCTCTCTGTCTCTCTCTCTCTCTCTCACTGTCCACTCTGCCTGTCAAAAAAAAAAAATAAACTAAATTTTTTGAAATTCATGCACAGTTTTTATAATATGCTTTTTACATGAACTTTTTGAGGACCTCTCCTCCTTGTATTAATTACATATGTCATTCTTTCTCTAAATGGAGCTGTTCACCAAGAGATGTTTCGATCTTGGAGAATGTTCAAATTTACAGTTTACCAAAAAATACAGAGAAGTTATTTCTAGTCAAATATCAGATGGTTTTTCAAATCTTTTGCACTTTTATGAACTATTTGTATCTTCAGCAACAAGTGTATATTTTATATGCATGTATAATGAACACGTGCTTTTCTGTATGTTTGCATGTGTATATATAGGGGGAGTGAAAAAAAGGAGGGAGGGTGACAGGAGCGACGAATATATGAAGAGAACATTGCTGAAATGAAAGGCATCAACATGGTTTGTAAATATTATATATGTTATAAATATTAAGAATAGTTCTTAGGGAGATTTGTTGCTAGTGTCTAATGCTGTCACATTGCATACCAACTGAATAAAGAAATATGTGTTATATGTCAGTTTGTATTCCTTTTAGTTTCATGGGTTTAAAAATTTGAAGCCATTATTTAGAAGTTTGATTTAACAATCTTAGTCCATATTTCTTTTATTTATTTGAAGATTATTTTATTTATTTATTTTTTATTTGAGAGACAGAGAAAGAGATCAATTTTTCATCCCCTGGTTCACTCCCCAAATGTCTGCAACAGCAAGGGTTGGGCTAGGCCAAAGTTAGGAGCTGGGAAATTAATCTGCCTCTCCCATGTAGGTGACTTGAGACTCAGCTACTAGAACCATTATCTGCGGCTGCTCCCAGGGTTCTCATTAATGGGAAGCTAGTATCTACCAGTGGAGTCAGGACTCCAACCTGGGCACAGAAAGTGGAATGTGGGTGTCCTGAGCTGCAGCTTAACTGCTACCCCAAATATTGCCCCCCATTTCTTTTTGATTACTAGGAACCTTCCCTTCTCATTTACATTTGTGTGTCTGCGTATGCGTGTATGTGTATGCAGATGAATGATTTGGAAAAATGTTACTTTGTCCCTGGTCCTGTTAAGGAATCTGAGTGTATCTTTGAGATACTCTTTATTTTAGTGTGATTTTTTTTTGAGGATAGAATTGAGGCATCTTGAACTGAGTCTCTTCGAATGCTTAGATTAATTTATAGGCTTTATCTATTATGTGAATTAATGGAGAACTTGATTTTCTAATAAATGAACATAGCACTTTTGGCAAGAATTATTTTTAGTGGAAAAACTTGTAAATGAAAAAATATTTGTGGTGATCTTGTGCATCTACTGTTCTTGTTTGGGAAAAAGGATACTGACATTTTAATTAATGGAATTCGTTTTATATGGAAGATGCATGTCATTCATTTATTTGTTTTTAAAGATTTACTTATTTGAAAGCAGAGCAACAGAAAGAGAGGGAGGAGAGACAGAGAAAGGTCTTCTATGCACTGCTTCACTCCTCAAATGGCTACATCAGCCAGCTCTGGGTGGGGCTCCAGTCAGGAGCCTGGAACTCTGTCAAAGTCTCCTATGTGGGTGGCAGGGACCCAAGCACTTGGGCCATCTTCTGCTTTTCCAGCACATTAGCAGGGAGCTGGATTGAAAGCAGAGCAGCTGGTGCTTGGACCAGTGCTTTAATATTGGACACTGGCATCATAAATGGTGGCTTGGCCTGCTGTGCCGCAGCACCAGACCCGGAAAAGATGTGTTTCAAGGGTCATTTACTATTTTTTTAAAGTCTTTCTCTTCCAATGTTTATAAGAGTAGGCTTTAAGAATTTGGTTACTTCTAAGGAAAACAAAGTTTTTTTCTGGAAATATTTTATTAGAACTCATCAATTGATAAATTAAATAGTCTTTGTCCTACTTTTACAGTTACTTTCTACTTTTAAAAGTTATAAAACTTAATGGTATAGGAAGTATCTCCCTACCTCTGTTGCTGCCATTACCTGGTGTATTTGAATGGTTCAAGTTCATTTCAGGATTAAAATGTACTATTTCTTTAGCACTAGAGAGAATCTTTACCCTGAAAGCTTTATAAATTATGTAAGACAGTGAGAAAGGTGTGATTTTGTTAAGACCACTATATAACTGTTGATTGTGATGACAGTGCACTGAAAAGTAGGTAGGGTGGGGATCAGTGGTGATCAGTGGATCAGTGGTAAGATTCCAGCTGCCCTGTCTGCCTAGATTTCTTCTTTACACACTTTTTTTTTTTTTTTTTTAACGGGCCTGCACTGTGGCTTAATGGGTTACAGCCCTGGCCTGAAGCGCCAGGATCCCATATAGGTGCCTGTTCTAGTCCTGGCTGCTCCTCTTCCTTTTTTTTTTTTTTTTTTTTTTTTTTTTTTTTGACAGGCAGAGTGGATAGTGAGAGAGAGACAGAGAGAAAGGTCTTCCTTTTGCCGTTGGTTCACCCTCCAATGGCTGCCACGGCTAGCACGCTGCGGCTGGCGCACTGCGCTGATCCGAAGCCAGGAGCCAGGTACTTCTCCTGGTCTCCCCTGGGGTGCAGGGCCCAAGCACTTGGGCCATCCTCCACTGCACTCCCTGGCCACAGCAGAGAACTGGCTTGGAAGAGGGGCAACCGGGACAGAATCCGGCGCCCCGACCGGGACTAGAACCCGGTGTGCCGGTGCCGCTAGGTGGAGGATTAGCCTAGTGAGCCGTGGCGCCAGCCTGGCTGCCCCTCTTCCAATCCAGCTCTCTGCTATGGCCTGGGAAAGCAGTAGAAGATGGCCCAAATCCCTGGGCCCCTGAACCCTTGTTGGAGACCCGGAAGAAGCTCCTGGCTCCTGGCTTTGGATCGGTGCAGCCCCAGCCGTTGCAGCCATCTGGGGAGTGAACCAGCAGATGGAAGACCTCTCTCTGTCTCTACCTCTCACTGTAACTCTGTTGTTCAGATAAATAAAATAAATCTTAAAAAAAAAATAAAAATTACACAGAGAGAAGGAGAGGCAGAGAGACAAAGTCAGAGTTATATGTAGAGAGAAGGAGAGGCAGTGAGACAGAGGTCTTCCATCCACTGGTTCACTCTGCAGTTGGCTGCAATCTCCAGAGGAGCACTGATCCAAAGCCAGGAGCCAGGAGCTTCTCCCAGGTCTCCCACGTGGGTGCAGGGACCCAAGCACTTGGGCCATCTTCTGCTGCTGTCTCAGGCCATAACAGAGAGCTGGATTGGAAGTGGAACAGCTGGGACTGGAACTGGTGCCCATATGGGATGCCGGCACTGCACGTGGTGGCTTTACCCGCTACGCCACAGTGCCGGCCCCCTTCCTTACACTCTTGTGTGTGGGTGCAAGAAGGAAAATGGCTCATGGCCATAAATAGTCATTTACTGATGGGACACTAAGGCCAACTGAAAGGAAACAAATCGAGAAACTGTAAACAGGGTCTTCTGTGTTTACCTAACAGTGGGAGAAATTCTGCTTGGAGAATCTAAATAGCTGTGTTATATAAATTATTCCTAGAAAAAAAGGGTTTTACCCTTATTTTTATTTCTTTTTAGTATTAGACAGTCATGTGTATCTTTAGTTTCTCATTACTAATTCTCATTACTAAATCTACCAGCTTGTTCATAGAAGTCATTTCATTCCTCACAGACTTGGTCTCCAGTATAAGTACTTCTTAACTGATATACTGGGGAGTAATTTGTCTGTGAGTCAGACAAGCAGGGTGTTCAGTACTGCTTTTCCTCAATCATTCTTGATTTCCTTGGACTTCTAGGGTGTGGAGAGCATCTCGTGCGCACCATACTGGCTAGAGAATGTTCACATGCTTTACAAGCTGAAGATGCTCACCAAGCTCTGTTGGAGACTATGCAAAACAAGTTTATCAGTAAGTATGACATTAAAAAAATTGCATCCTTCTACATCTAGATTGTTTCATTGAGCTATAAGTGCTGAGTCAGGTACACTGTATATATTTGTATATGTGTGTGTGTATTTCTACACACACACAGATATATATATATATATATTTACATTTTATATATATAAATATATATATTTATTATATATATATATATATATATATATATATATATATATATATATTTAGCTCAAGGACCCAGCATAGACTTAGACCCTTAGTTAATATTGGTCATGAAAAAAAGTTTCACAGTAGGTAATACAGCATGAAACCTGCTGAACTCCAATGCCCAAGTGATGAGACTTAGTCCAGGATTACAATGATATATAGTAGAATAAAATTCCTACAAAACTAAAATTCAAGTAGCAATTTGTTGTAAAATTTTTATAATACAATTTGATTCATTCTTTTAAATCAGTGCTACATTCCTGTATCTGGTACTGCCATGTGCACTTGCATAGGACTGAATTGAAATCCCTCCTGGATACCATTTGCCCAGCTGTATAACCTGATGTGAAACTACATCTGCCTGGAGGAGTGCTTTTTTCTAATCTGTAGAAAAGTTTTATTTGGCTTAGCAATGGCCCTATACATAGCTATTACTTTGAGTTAAAGCCATTTGATTTAGTCTGGTTTCCCCATCATTTAACATTTAGCTTACTACTATGAAAGGCCTGTGAAATTGTATCAGAAACATAAAACATAGCTAAAAAGAGGTTAGGGTAATAAATCATGAACACATAAGCTAGTGAGAAAGAACACCATGGGATTAAGCTGCGGCAAGGGGAATGTCCCCCACTTAAAGAATTAAAATGGGATAATGAGGTACTAAATATGTGGTGAGGACATAACTCCCACAGTACAGGAAGAGTCACCCCCACAAAGGGCTGATGGACAAAGGGCTCTTAGAACTGGCCCCAGAATCTCTGGGATAGGTGAGAAAGAGAACAGAGGAGCACAGACAGAGACATGGCAATGGAATTAGAATCTGTCTTTAGGATTGTGGTAGGATCCTGGTGAACAACCAGGGTGACTCAGTTTCCCTAACATCTGGTGAGAAGTTCAACCTCTGGGATTATATTAACTTTTCCAAAATGGCAGGTCCTAGTACCCTTTAAGCAAATGACAAGCCAGGTGAGGCAAAGATTATTCCTTAATTAGTATGTTTTATGTGTACATAAAAGCAGAATATTCAGAAATAAGCAAGATCACTGTATGAAATGATAGGCAAAAATAGGTAAGAGAAAATTACTTGAGCACTGAGAGCTGGAAATAAGCTTGCACTGTATATCTGTGGGGGAAATTGCCCAGGAAAACCTACCCCTTCAAGGAGACTCTTCAGTTTCAGACTGCTGTCAGGTTGTCGGCATTGAAGTCAAGGGCTCTTCGTTCTACCAGATGCCTTTTCAGAGTGAATTCTTGCAGAGCGGAGTCATGGCAAGATGTCTCTCAGATAACAAGTTGAAGGTACTGGTAGTTATTGCCACAGAAGGTGTATTTCCTTAGCTTCTAGATGTTAACCTTGGAGGGAAAATTCTGGACAAAGTTACCGTATTTGCACATCAGAACACAGTTGTCAGTGTAGCGTGTCACTTGCCCATTGTGAAATAATGGACCTCCTTGCTGCCAGTTAGCTGATTGGCCTGGTTGTAACCTGTATTGCAAGAAAAAGTTCAAAATGGAGTTAGGGCTGTCAGAGCATAGTCACATTCATCATAATTAAAATACCAATTTACTTAGATTCAAGAATCAAAACATGGCAAAGAACATATTCACAACATAAGGATTCCTTCAAACTATTGATTTTGCTAAAATTTAGCCATGACCTACTCAAAACACATTTCATCCCAAAGCTGTTTGTACTTAGAATTGTAAAAAGTCCACTTAGAAGCTCAAAGGATAAAACTGAATTCAACTAGATGAGTATGTAACTGTTGGCCTAAATGGAAGGTTCCTGGTGTAGGGGTAAAATGTGGATTACTTCCTCAGAAAGTAAGCATTGTTGTTCAGACTTTTTTTTTAAAAGATTTATTGATTTATTTGAAAGGCGGAGTTACAGAGAGAAAGAGGCAGAGAGAGAGCGAGAGCGAGAGAGAGAGAGAGAGATCTTGGATCAGCTGGTTCACTCCCCAGATGGCTGCAATGGCTGGAGCTGAGCCGATCTAAAGCCAGTATCCAGGAGCTTCCTCCAGGCCTCCCACCCAGGAGCAGGGGCCCAAGGACGTGGGCCATCTTCCACTGCTTTCCTAGGCCACAGCAGAGAACTGGGTTGGAAGTGGAGCAGCCAGGACTTGAACTGGCACCACATGGGATGTTGGCCCTGTAGGTGGTGGCCCCACCCCTACGTCACAGTGCCAGCCTCTGTTCAGGCTTTTAATAATATATTATACCCTATCAGGAAAATAAAAGTTTTGGCCATAGAGAGAGAGAAAAAAAAGCAGATGATGGGCAGAAAAGAATTGAATTTGTTTATCTGAATGAAGAATAGATGAAGGAATTTTATTCAGGTGCTTTTTCACAGTTATTTGGACTGAGGTTGTGAAGATATGAATTATAGTGTTAGCTGTGTGTATACTTATAAGAACTGCTCAAATGACAAAGTATGTGCTGAGGAATGAGTAATAAACAAGTTGTAAACAAGACATTGCAGTCTGCCTCCAGTGACTTTTCGGAAAAGATTGACTACATTTATGTTACTGAGATCAGAATCAGACTTAAGTCTTAACTTTCTATTAACAATTACCATTATTGAGTGTTCTTTTTAAGGAAAACCAAATTCTGACCTTAGTGGCGTATGTGATTTATCTAATTTGCTGTGAGTTGTACAGATGTATATAGTAGATGCATTTCTAGAACATTAAAAGGAAAGATTAGAGTTGAAAACTGGACATTTAAGGAATCTTCCTAGAAACCCTGTGATAAGCGTGTAATTATCACATATGGTAACTTCCTGCTTGCTGAGAATGACCTGATGCACTTTACTGAATCTACAACCACAGGTTCACTGGCCAGTTCTGCTTTTCCACATTTGTGTCCCTTCTAAGGCGCTCCTGTCACTCTTCTGTTGTGTTGCTCTACTGTACCCTCATTCTGTATAGCTGTTCCAAATTGCTTATAGAGTTGAACTGAAGTATTTCATTTTTGCCCATTAGCTAATGCATATTAAATCCTGTCTTAAAAATTCCCGGCTCTCAGAAAGGAACAAGGAACTTGAGAGCTTGCCTAATTAATGCTCTTATTTAATAGTCGAAGAAAGTTATTTTAAGTTCCATATCCTGGGAGTCAGGACAGCCTCCTTCTACTCTCAGATGTGTTCGACTTACTCTGGGTGTAGAAAGTTACCTAAGCAGTTTTGTTTTAAGAAAGTGAGAACAATAGACAAGGAGCAGTATTTTATGATGCTAGTTTCTATGAAAACTCTACTAGAATTGGTCAATAAATGTGAAATTATTTTTAAGCGGAATTGGAAATGAGATTTGAAAATAAAGATTTTAGGGGAATTCTTTGAGAATTACAGCATGTTATTTACAACATAATTGGAACAAACTAAATCAAATTTGCCAAAAGCCTGAACTTGAAGCAAGATTGGGCTCTTTCTTTTAATGTACTGTAGGTAGAAGTAGGTGCTTTAGGATAAGTCTCTTTGTTCTCACTTTTCTCGTGTGTAGAATGAAGGGACAGCTCTACCTGGTCTTTGAAATTCCAACCAGCTCCAAAATTCTTGGTTGAGTTCAGAGATCAGTCTAAACTACTTATGTAAATGCAGTACAAAGTTAAATTAGTTGCTAATTGAAATTATAAATTAAAAACCAGTAAATGGTTGAGCTCAAGTCCTATTTGAAGTACTTTGGCTAAATTCCTTTCTAGCAGTGATTGAGGAAAACTCCAACTACTAGCTTGGTTTTATGGAAATTAAGATATTCCTCCTTTTTTACTTTTGAAAACTGACATTCCTTTTTTTCTTTCAAAATAATTGGTATACATGATATATCTAAAGAGTTTCATTGCAGTATATGCATAGAAACCTTTTGTATAAGTGAAATACCTCCTTTTCATTCATCTGAGTCCAGTTTCTCTTGCCAAAAGAACCAGTGCTCACAGTTTTGTGTGCACCATTATAGTCAGTCTGTCTGTCCATCTATCTCTATCATCGTTTTAAATAATCATGGAGAAGAGATTTCTGTTATGTTGTTTTTCAGCATATTTTTCACTTAATATATCTTGATACTCTTGATAGTATGTCAATATGCTGTGATTCCGTAATTTATTTATTCCCCTACTGAAAGAGATGACAAGATGTCACTTGTCTGTAGTTTTTTCTGTATCATTTTACAAGGTATGAATGCTTGTTCCTTCACACTATTAATTAAGCATTTTGTGAGATTCCATTTTTTCTGCTTTTTTAGTATATCAGTGATAATTGCCTTAGTGTTTGGAATCTACACTTATGACTAATCTGAGTTTTAATAACACTATACCACTTCATAAGCTTATAGTAACAAACTATTTTTTACTCTTCTATCCCATCCTTTGAAACATTCATTTCACTTATACATAAGTGTACATAAGTGAATGTTGTTAATTATTATTTTCAATGAATTTTATGTGTTAGATCAATTAAAAATAAGAAAAATAAAAATTTTGGTTTACTTTCACTTTTTCCTTTTTTAATTCTCTTCCTCTCTCTATGCAGTTTTGAGTTTCTGGCCTATATACATTTTTTGTTTTTGAAGAACTTCTTTTAACTTTTCTTGCAAGGCAGGCCTACTGGCAACAAATTTCCTCAATATTTGTTTGTCTGACAGTCTTTATTTCTCCTTCACTTTTGAAGTTCACAGAGTACAGAATTCAAGATTGATATATTTTTTCTCAACACTTTAAATATGTCACTCTTCTTGCTTGATTTGGACTTCTAAGGAGAAGTCAGATGTAATTCTTTACTTTGCTCCTCTGTAGGTAAGGTGGTT